TAATAATAATAATAATAATAATAATAATAATAATAATAATAATAATAATTTAATTTAAAAAATATATATATTTATGAAAACTTTTTTAGAAGGTATTTTTTATTAATATTATTGCTTTTTTTTATTTTTTTTTTTTTTTATTTTTATTCCTTAACTGATTGCAATTAAAACTTAATTTATAGAAAAAATTTATATATATATCTATATGTATATTATTTTAACGACAACTAAACTCTATATCAGTTACAAGTAAGGGTATTCCCTGCATTATTTCGAGTTCTTCAACTAAAGTCTTTTTGGTGTAGCGCTCAACGTATGCCTTGAACAGACGCAACTTGTGACATCTTGATGTGCCACAATTGTCAAATGAAATTATAATGTGACCCAAAAAAACAGAAAAAAAAACAGCAGCAATGAAAAGAGCCAAATGGCTGATGGCAGAGTAAGATATATAAACATAGATATATACATAAAGATATATACTTAAGCGTGCCTTTGAGGGCCTATTCATAAGCAGGCCGTTATTTGGGGGTGAATTTGGTGGGGACAGTCTTTAATTTGACAGTTGTTTATCACTTGATGAAGAAGTCAGAATGGACGAGTTTGGAAAACCTTATGCAAAGTAGGCTTTTGCCTCTTGATTGTCACACTTGAAATATAGGAGCTGGGGGGTCATTAAACATATTTAGTTTACTCAGCTCGACTACACGCAGCAAAACTTTTGCATAAATTCCAACAAAATTATAGAGTAAATTGAACAGATTTCGGCCACAGTTTATTATACAAATCCAAGTTAAAGATGCAGATGTGTTGTGAGCGCATCTCAGCGGTGATTGCCGGCGTTTTGGTTAGCCTCTGGTATGGCAAGACCTTTGGTGATGAGAAGAAGAAGGAGGAGGAGAAGAAAGCCAAGAAGAAGTAGAGGCCGAACATTGCGCCGCATTGTTTACTTAGAAGTTTCGGACAATATCATAGCGATGCTTGCGTGTAACGAGTGAAAACTATCCAGAGCCTGAGCAGTAAACAATTTAAGCAACATATAGGACGAAGGTTGGGCTCTAAGACGTAGAGATGGCGAAAGAAATTCCAAAAAAAATACGGAAAAAGGATTCTGCATAATCATAGATTAGCATTCGGAAGTACAGTTAATCGATTGCCGATAATACGATTGAAACGCTAATAGAAATTGTGCGGAATCTTGGAATGAATGAAAATGAAAATGGAATTGGTTTCGGTTCGATCACATCGCCCATGCAAAGAACATCTGTCAAACGATTCACATACAGTTTATCGAACAACATATGATATTCAGTTCAACGCTTTAGAGTCAAAACAACATTTAAACAGCATTTATCCAGTATAAATAAATATGCCAGAGATGCGACGATCTATGTGTAGACCACAGCCGTCGTTGCTCTCGCGCTTGAATTGTAAGCCATGTAATCATGTTCTGTTCTTCATGGTTGGGGTGGGACTCGGCACACTCTTCCTGCGGAGCAAAGAACAGAATGCCGACCAGAAGGAAGAGAAAAATTAAGCCCGAAGACTGACCAGCGCATCCAGAGAGTAATCGCTATTTGTGACTGCCGTTTGCTCTACATGGGGACTCCCGTCCGTGAGGAACGGGACACGAATACATGGTTAATTCACTATTTATACCGTTGTAAATGAAACTCAGATTAAAAAGTTTCCGTATCAATGCAAATTATTCTGTGTTTTTTTTTTTTTTTATTTATTTAAATAAATACCAATTGTTTGAAGCTGGCAATGGAGTGCATTAAAGACCATAGCATTAAAAATAAAAATAAAATATTATTAATATAAAAATATATATATTTTAAAAATTCACCTATGTCTCAATCTTAATATATTTTTTCATTGAAAAAATACATAATTATTTAAAAATAAATAATAGGTGGAATGCAATATGAAACAACATTAAGAATGCAGCAGCCGGGCGTGACCCACTTCAGAATACTCTTCTTGGCCAAACACTACCAACAACCCTATTACTCGACTTTTAAATCTTTAGCTTCATATATGGACATTGCACAAAAAAGGAGAAAAAAGCATTTCGAATAATAGTTTAATCTTTTATAATTATAAATTAATACATTTTCTCTTTAAAAATAGGGAATTTGCGCTTCGGTTTTTTTTATTTTGCACATAAATTATTTTTAATTAAAATGCACTTTAAATTTAGACTTTTGTAGTAAACTATTAATTTGGAGTCACACAGTTAGCTAGCGTAAAGGCATATCCCGTTCTGCCACTATCTTATCTATTGTTTTTTTTGGACTTTTTCAATTTGGAATTTAAGTTCATCTGATGACTAAACCCAAACGTTGCTGTTCCTTGGTTAACTTAATTTTGTGGCTTTTGATCTGTTATTTTTTTCCGTCTTTCTTTTCCTGTTCCTTGGCCTTCTTTTCCTTTTCTTTTTTCTCTTTTTCCTGCTGTTCCTTGGCTTTCTTTTCTTTCTCCTTTTTCTCCTTCTCCTTCTTTTCCTTTTCAGCCTTCTCCTGTTTCTCCTTCTCCTTCTTCTCCTTCTCCTTCTGTTTGGGATCCTTGTTCGCCTCCTCCTGCGCTTTCTTGGCGCTTTCTTTAATTGCATCGATCGCCAGACCAATGCCAGCACCCACAATGAAGAAAAACAATCGATTGCAGGCCGTACAGTTTAGCTTCGAGAAAAGCGTCGGCGGCGGCCGACATGTCGGACGCAGCGACGGCGGTGGCCTACATGATGGATTGGGGCAGCCCGATTGGGGCCGCTGTGCTCCACAGTCTTTATTACACATGCGCGGGCTGGTTTCAAAGAGTGATAACAAAAAGGTTTTTGTTTAAATCAAGAAGAAAAATAAAAGTGAAAACTAGAAAATCGAATAGGCAAAAAACAGGGAAATTTTGAACAGTATTACGAAAACTCTGTGTGTAAGACTGCCTGAAAATAGTTTTGTCGACTGAACCTGATAGAAACAGCCGTACAGAAAAATGGCCTGCTGGCATCCCAGTTGGCCCAAATACAAACATCAATGTCTATGTATACTCGGAAGTCTCTGATGTCTGAGTAGTAGTATACTTTAAAGGGACTGGAGCAATACAATTATGTGATGGATATTTCTACAATCTATAAAAAAAGTTGCTTAATTTCCCTTCTACTTTGGTGGATTGCAGAGCAGGTTCTTTTATCAATACATTTTTTTTTATAAAAATATATATTTTGATTAAATTTTGATTTGCTTATATGCAAATTCCTTTCGAAAATCCAACTTTTAGTTTCAAGTTAGCGAATGTGGATAAAAAATGTTCTATGATCATACTTCTTATGCTTTACACTCTGTTAAGGAGATCAACCGGAAACATCCCATTCACTCTCTGGCTCTAAGCAAGGGCCTTCGCCGCCTTTTGGTTTTTTTTTTTGTATTCTGTTGAGCATTTTAAGCTGATCTGTTCGTGTGACGCCCATCGTTTAGGGAGTGATACGATTGCCATTCGCACAAGGAGTCTCATTCACATACACATGCTCACACGCAATTCTCTTGCATACATGCAAAGATTACCATTTGCTACAATTAACTCAGCTAAACGCTGAGGTAGACCCATAGCACATAAATACCAAAATAAAATGGTTTCTATCCCATCAAGAAAGAAATCGTTGAAGAGCCATCTATATCGATTGCTCTCTAAGTTATTTCTCTTATTTAATAATTAGAGACACCTATTTACAAGAGTTTTAACGATCTATGGCTTCAGCTTTATAACCGTCTTGCAATTCCTTTATATTTGATAACCCAGCACATAGCTAATTTCTATACAAATCAAAGAGTGCTAGTCAAAATTGATTTCAATGATTGTCTACCTAGTAGGCAGTGAATTTAGTAACAGTTTTATATTTTAAACTCTTCTGCTAACAAAATTATACGTAAAAATTTCAGTTTATCTTCTTTTTTTAATAATATTAAAATTATAAAATGGATTACACGTGGGCGGTTACATTGCTGTTGGGTTGTGTACTAGGCTTTGTAGTTGGTCTCCATTCGTAAACCGCAAAAAGAAGTAAGAGATGATTTTAATGATTAATTAATGCAGCTTGTAATCGACTCTACGCATTTTATTGAAGGTGCATGAAGAGAAATCCTTTGAATAACAGCTTTTGGCAAATAACTTTCCAGACCTATCAAATTTACGGAAAATGGTTTAAGAGGATTTTCTTGGGATTTCCCACAATTGAATGTGAATCGTAATGCTTGAACCTTAACTTAAATAAAAGACATTATTTTAACCACTATAAAATTGTTGTTGTTGTTACAAGTCTTTAGCTATGTTTCTATAACTAGATGTTCTATAAAAGCTCTTCTCTACATAAAAATTCGATAGCAATTCCAAGAATCTTTAAAGTGGTTTATTTTTCTGCCTTACCTAAAATTTACGCTAAAACTTTTCACTTTTCGAGTAGCATGCTTTGAGACGTCACTTCCCAGTCAACCCCAACGTAAAAGATCAGTTTTAAGTATTGTTCCGTGAGTATCGTATCGTTCTCTACACAACCTTTTTTTTTTTTGGATTTTCTAAATTTTGGGATTTGGTAAAGTAATCCGAGTACATAGAAGAATATAAACAGAAAACAACATGGAGAATGATTGGCTGATCACTCTGCTGGTGGGCTGCATTGTTGGTTATTTAATTGGCATTAATATTTGAGCTTCCAGCAAGTCGAGAAAATATATGAAAAATTGACATGAGGTAATGCAAAAAATAATTTTGTTGAATACAAGTAGACTTTGCTTTCTGTCTCATGCATATGTATTTCTATAGTTAAGAAATTTCTCAGAGGGGAGGCGACCTTGTTTATACCCACATTATCTAGTGTAAGACCAATTTTTTTCTGTAAGTTTCATATATAAAAAGAAAATATATAAAAAAAATTCAAATATTTATATTTAATCTCAGCCACTAGATATTCATGATGAGTCACATAATATCATATGGCCTGGGTTTAATAACGGGCTTGATGCTGTGCAAACGTTGTGGTCCACCCTAACCAGGTTACAAAATTACCGATTGAAGAAACTAAATCATTTCCTATCAAGACATATTAATCAAATATGTATAAACTAGATAAAGTGCAAAAATATTCAAAATATGTAGTATATAAGCAATAAATAATGATAAAGTATTGAGTGAAAGTATTGAATGGACATGGGGAGAATGAGAGAGAATGATAATGGTAAACTAATGACTAATGATTGAGGTCATTGGCGGAGGGAGGAGAACCTAAGCAGATCTGAGAGAAGATTCATATTCCAATTTATGTTTGCTTAAGAGAAATATGCTTTCATTTTCTTCATAAAACTGAATTTATTTTGTACAATTTTATTTTATATTTAATAAATTAGTAAACTTATCGCTTGCATTTCCGTCGCTTGCAACAAAGAATCATGCCCGCGATAAAGCCAAAGAAAAATGCGACAAGCATATTGAGTCGTTGCCTGGCAAACTGTGAACTGCAAGTTTGGGTTACAAAAGGGTAGAGTAAAGTTCTGGGACTCGAGATCTTTCTTCTGGGTCAACTCATTCTGGGCGCCATTTTAAAACCGCTGAGGAATGATAAGAACGTGAGAGCTTCTATGAAAATGAATGTGAATCTTCGAGGATTACTTACGCCGTGCTTTGCAATCAGGAAGCCGAGGATGCCGCCGACCAAAAAGGATATAAAATGATTATGCATGGCCAAAACAATTTGGAGAAAAATAAATATATATACTTTGAATTTCAACTGGAGATGCCAACTGAAATGAGAGCTGTATGAAGCTGTGTGTGGAGTGATGAATGAAAGCCTGCTGGGCTCGAGAACTGGCTGAACTAGGCCGCTAGAGGAGTATTGATTTAAAGTTGAATGCCGGCTGGATCCCAGTAGAGGCAGCGACCGTTATCAAACAGCAATTTCGATTGTCTTCGCTGTGCGTGGACCTCAATCAATTTTGGGCCAAGCTGGGCAATAAAATATACGCCCGAGCTGAATGAAACAAAGTTTTGGCAACTTGTTTTCCCACAGCAGCAGCAGCAGCAGCTGGACGAAAACTTTTACATTTATGGTCCCAAGGTGTAAGGGCATTTGGGCAGTCGGCTTTAACTGCTTGCTGTTTGTGTTTCTTCAACTTAAAGTTTACCTTTTGGCCTAATGGCCAAGTCAATTAACCTGTGCATAATTATGTAAAGGGCGTGTGGGCGTGGCCCACAAGTGTTTGTTAATTAGTATGAAAAGTTTGTTTTACTTGAGTTAAATTATTGTAAAATAGTTAAAACTCGCACATATGTGCGTGCGTGTGTGTGTGTGTGTGTGCTGGTCTTGGTGCCTTTCATTATGATTGATTATCAGGTCGGTGGTAAATGATATGATGCCGCCCATGGGGCGTTTAACAAATGATTGAGGCGTGGCCCGTTTCCGTATCGAGATGAGTTAGTTATGTATGGGCCAGCTGTCAGCATATCCGCATTTTAATCAGTCGGCTTTTGGGGTCTTACACACACACACACACACAGTCGCACAGCCACACATCTGATAAATATTTCATGATTTTCGCCTTGAGAGCTGCTCGAGTGCGTTTTGGCATAACTTAGATGGGGTTTTATCTGAATACAAACAAAGGCCAAAACCTAACCGCAGAGAGCCCCCCAAAAAAAAGAAAACTCTGCTGGTTTGGTAATTGAATGAGTGCGCCTCGTGCTCATATGCTCGCTTGGCTCAGGTTAAAGGATAAACGCCAGCGAGATTGCCTACCAAACGTAATGTTGGCTGCCAGACCAAATGATTGATGGCATTGTCAAGCCGAGCCAAAGGTTAAATTGTGTGGCCATGCTACCCAAACTACGTTTGACTAACACACATACATATATACATATACATGCATACCACGCTTAGCTTATACATACATTTATATGGGGCCAACAACAGGTACGCCCTGCTGAGTGCTGTTGGCCGCAAATTGAAGCCTTATTGATTAGGGCCATCTTTTTATAATCTGTCCTGTATCCTGACCTAGCATTCACTCAATTTGTCCAACTAGCAAAGGGTGAAATATTATATATACTATATTATATGTTTCAGTTGGGCAGCAAGGCCGCTCTCTTTCTATCAGTGACTTTGAATGATTGTAAGCCTATTCAAGGCTTTGACTTGAGGTTAAGGGCATTATTTATGAGTTTGTCATATACAATATTTGTTATTATTTTTTTTTTTAAATTTATTTTAATAAAAAAAAAAACATTTTTTTATTTATTTATTTTTTTTATTTATTTTTATTTTATTTATTTATAGTTTTTTTTTGTATGTAAATAGCAATTTTTTCGAGTTTGTTATATATTCACAGTTATTATTATTAATATTTTTTAATTATTTTAATTTTAGAAAATGTGCTATTATTATTTTTTTTTTTTATATTCATATTCAATTTGTTTTATATTCATATTTTAAATTTTGCATTTTATAAATTATTTTATAATTTTTAATTTTCATTAAGACTTTCTATCAATGATTTTTTCGTATTTAATGTTTTATGCAAAGTATTTTTGTACATAAAATAATTTAAAATAATTTATTTAGCCGAGGCATATATATATGGTTTTCTCAATTGCCATTTTTCAAAGTTTCTGAAGCTTACTTGCCGTATATTTTGTATATTAAATATGTTTCATAAATATGTATTATTTTTATATGTATTTTATTTATTTACATAAATTTTTAATTTAATTTTCTATTCCACAATTTTGTTTGATTTCTAATTTAACACATTTCGTTTATTTTTTAGTTTCATCTGCAAACATTTCGAATTTCTGTTGCTCGAAGTGATTAAAACCGTTGCCGAAGCTTTTAGCTAACAGCCGCTGCGCTCTTACGCTGTTAACAGTCGCTCTTTGTCGTTGAGCTTTAACGCAGCTGCATGCTCTTTTCGCGTTCTCTCTCGCTCTCGCCCACGCACTCGGTGTGCTGCTCTTAAGGCGAAATATAAACAAATGCCTTGCCGGCTTTTGGCGCCAATTGGCGGCAGCAGCTGTTTCTTGTTTTGTAGCCCACCACGCGTCGTCCTGCCTGTGGTGAGTTTTTGGGTTCATCGTGGCCAAGTCCGTGGGCCAGGCTCGTTTCGCCTCAGTCGTTATTCCTGTGCCGACGCGTACGAAAGCAATTGCGAGTCCTGCACCTCGTCCATTAAGGCACCCAAGAGCCAACCAGCGCGCATCTTGAACAATTCGATCGGACTCGTGGCGTGCCCGCATTCTGGCTGTGTATTTGTGTGTCTCAGTGCGTGTGTGCGTGTGTGTGTGACAGTGTGTAAGCGTGTTTTACGGTTGTGACAGGTAGTCAAAGGTGTCCATTGTTAATGGATCGTTTTGAGCTGTTTTTTTTTTTTTTTACCAAAAATAATTAAAATGTGAAAATGGAAATGAAAAAATAAATATTTAAGCAATAATCTAATATTTATGAATATAGAGAATAAATTCATTTCATAGAATGTTCAGCAATAAAGAAATTTTAAAAATAGATAACATATAAACAAATATAATAATTATAAATAAGTTTAAGTGTACATTAAATATATACATTAAATATATACAAAAAAAATAAATAAATAAATAAATAAATAAATAAATAAATAAATAAATAAATAAATAAAAAAAAAATAAATAAATTACAAACAAAAAATTATTATAAATTAAAAATTAAAAAATATATTTCTATTCATATTAATATATATCTAAAAATATATTTTTAAATAATTTATTAACATGTTATCAGGTATAATGATATTAAAACTAAATTGTAAAATAAAAAAAGAAAGCAAAAATCATGATTATTATTTAATTAATACAAATGGTTCATTCATTTGAAAATAAAATGAAATATTTATAAAAATGATGTATTAAAATGAAAATGAAGCAAAATGGATTATTTATTAATAAATAATAACATAAATAAATTAAAACATAGAAATATGTTGTACGTATTAAATTTAAAAAAATTAAAGAAATTTTTACTGAACTCACAAGAATAGTATAAATTACGCTGAAAAGAAAACCGAAAATAAAATAAATAATTTAAAGTAAGATAATTGCAATAAACTAAGGACAACGCGCCAAATAGAGAAACAGGAAACTGTTTACACAATGGGCGCTTAAAGTACATTTAGGAAAACACAATTTTCATTAAAGGAGAACCCATTAAAATCCAAAATAATTGGTTTAATTAACCCCAGCGAAGGCTGGAGGGATGCAGAAAGCAGAGACGCGGAGGCTGTTTACCTTCAGCGAACCCTTTGGCGTGCTTGTGAGCTGATTAAAGAGTTAGTTGCGATGGTTGTTTTAGTTACAGCTGTTACAACAATGACACCAGTTACAGTTACACTTACAGCTGAGACGAGCTCACCCTTTCGCCTGCTTGAGAGGGAGAGACTGTCATGTTAAGTCAAGTGTCGAGTGCACAGATAAATTGACTTTGCGTGGCATTAAAAGTTGAAAACTTATACAAAACTTTCTGCAGCTCAACTGTGTGAAGCTAACTGTTGACACGTGCCACATGTTGCAAGCTGAACTAATCACCAAATATAATATGGTATATCCAAACATGACTGCTTTTATACATATTACCCACTGTCGCCCGGGCTTTGGCTTCGCGTACAAATTGGAAATGATTAAATACAGAACAAACAGAAAGCGAAGAAATTAGAAAGGAAATGGAAAGGAGCAGAAAAAAAAGGCACAAATTGAATGCGGCTGATGGCTAAAATTAGCTGCGGCCAGGCGCTGGGTGGGTGGGCGAGTGGGTCAGCTGCTGACCGAGATCCAGGCCCACGTCTGGTGGCCAACATAATTGAGTTATTTAACTTGGATTCAGTCACTTTATTATTATTAAATGGCTGCTGTGACGACAAGCTGTAGCTGTTAATGGCGGCACATAAGAATGAAGCTTGTCACATAAATATGGCGGCGGCATACGTGTGTGTGTGTGTGTGTGGGCGCCTAAGCGCCGCAATGATTGTTTTAATGGCTACTTGAACGGAAATTAACTGACAAGAGCAGATAAATAAATACCAGAGACAGTCAGAGAGTGAGAGACTGAAAGAGCCAATGCTGCGCACTTTCGAGACGGCTTTACTTGAG